CTAGTGGGTAGAGGCCAGACGGCTAAGCATCCTTCAGCGCACAGCATAGCACAGCCCCTCCCTCCCCAAACAAATAATTACTCACCCCAAAATGCCAGTAGCTCGAAGTTGACAAACTCCATTCTAGGAGGAAGGGACACAGGACACAGGGGTGCTGGATGCTTCTAGATAACAAGCAGTGTTCTGTTTTCTAATCCAGGAAGTGGTGGTGGGGGTGGGGACTGCTTTATAACTATGGACTTCAGCAGTTCCTATATATGATAATATGTGTCACAATAAATCTAAAAATTACATAGTCCCTTTCTGGTAGACTTAATTACTTAAGTAATTTATGTCATATTAAACCTGTAATGAAGGTTAACTAAGAGTAACATGCAGCAATTTCAATACCAGGGTATCAACTGTAAATGGCAGTCACTTCTCTTACACAGATTCAGTGACATGATTAGGGTGTTACATGGACTTGAGCTGGCTTTGCATGACCATAGTCATGGAGGCAGAAGCTTTTGAATCTGGAGCTCTTTTTCTTAGAGGCATCTACACGTTCTTGAAGAGGGAAAATGAGTTGACTTTGCACTTTGTTTGATATCATAACTTCCTCCTTCATGTACTGAATTAGGGAAAACTTCATAATTTCTTAGGTGATAAGGTTTTCAAGAAATCATCAGATCCAAGATTCATAAAGAAAGGAGCTATGAGATTCATTTTTGTAGGTACTAAGAAAAGAAAGCAGATTTTTGAGCAATTTGTACAATGATAGCTAGAAAGTTACTTTTTCTCTGATATCGAGATTACTCTTTTCTGAGAAATGCCATAGTAGTTGCAAAAACTCTGGTTTGGGACAGATGTACTTTGTTCTATTGCTGATTGCCAAGGCTGAGCACAGTGAGGTCAGGCCTTTGTGATGTATTCCCGGAAGTATAGCCAGTGAAATGTTTAAAGTGACCCAGGGAATCCTGTATTATTTGTCAGGAAGGTAGTGAGTGTGTAACAGCTTCCAAGTGGTAGTGCTTTGTCTTCATGCAGTCTGGTCCATAGATTTATCTGTGTGGGCTGATTCCTTTGTGCATGAAACAAGCAGAAGACAGCTGAAGAATTCCTCATCTGTAGATTAAGTTCCACCTCAAAACCAGTAGAGGGTGCTGGTAGCCCTGCAAATGGGACGGAACAGTTCACAGCTTACTGTCTAGTCCAGTACCGTAGAAACCAGGCCCTGCTCACTGCCGGTCCCACTATTGGAAAGCCTTTAGAATCTTCCTGTAAGGGAAGACCTGTCCAAGGAATGGACCTGGGGAACCAGTAGGTTATTTTTCTGCCATGTCCTCCTTGGTAAATACAGTATCTTCATCCAAGTGAATTTTTGGTCATGTTACTTGCAATAAAGCTGAAGAGCAGATAACACAATGACTCAGTAACATGTTTTTCTACTATAATAATATTTTTAGTTTGTTAAGACTGTGTACCAATTCATACAGTATGTGTTTTAACTAAGCAGAGATCCCATATTGTCCATAGAATCTTGCAAAGGTTCTAGAAATAACCCTTATCTTCTAGTGGGATATAAAACTCAGTATATTCTTCAGAATTTTATTTTTAGGAGTTATTGTATTAATTAGTTCTCTCTACCAGGCTCACTTAGCTTTTCAGTGGACTTCATGGTTTAGGAAATGTTTGTTACTTGCATCAGATATTTTGTCCCTTATGATTTCAGATATTTTTGAAAATAAACTGGGATGTCAATCACCTGTTTAGAACAGGTGTCTTCAAGTTTTTTTTTGCACTTTGATAAACAGTATACCCTGTATCACATTTTTAAGTTTATTTACTTATTTTGAGAGAAAGTGAATGTGCTGGGGAGGGGCAGAGAGAAAGGGAGAGACAGAATTCCAAGCAGGCTTTGCACTCTCAGTGCAGAGCCCATCACGGGGCTCAAACCCATGAACTGTGAGATCATGATCTGAGCCGAAGTCAAGAGTTGGATGTTTAACTGACTGGCCACACAGGCGTCTCCCCCATCTCACATTTAAAAAAAATTTTTTTAATGTTTTATTTATTTCTGAGCGAGAGAGAGAGGGAGACAGCATGAGCAGGGGAGGGTCAGAGAGAGAGGGAGATGCAGAATCTGAAACAGGTTCCAGGCTCTGAGCTAGCTGTCAGCACACAGCCCGACGCGGGGCCGGGACCCACAAACCATGTGATCATGACCTGAGCTGAAGTCGGACGCTTAACCGACTGAGCCACCTAGGTGCCCCATCTCACGTTTATGAAAGCAACATTTGTAAGGTTATTAATCATAGCTTTAAATCATTGCAAAAGATATAATTTCTGGCCTATTTGGGAAATACTAGCATTTTAAAATAAAACCATTACATTATTCTCAAATGTATCCAGTGGATACTATGTACCAGTGCAATTTGATATCCAATGTCATGTATTTAGAAGTATACCAGCAAGTCTTTTAATAGTCAGAAATATTATATTTCATAGTTCCTTTTCCTCTGAAATAATGTTTCCATTGCACATACCCATAATTATTTTATGCTTATACATTTCTTTTTGCTTAAACTTAAAATCCATCATCCTATCCTATTTCTGTGCCACAAAACAAATATATATAAATTTTTGGTTTATTTCTAGTAACCCCAAGATTTTAAGTGTAAATTTTTTTTATTTGGATGAAGTTGTCATTTTACCAGTAGATGACAATGAATAAAATGGGGAAATATAAATTTTGATAAATAATTGTAACAGTACAGTCTTTCTGGAAGTGCATCTCTTGATGAGATAGACTGGTGTGGGGAAGGGGCTGCTTTTGCTGCTTTGATTAAAGAATGCTTCCCAGTCCTTTGGCTTGTACCTTACTTATCCTTGCTGAGAGACAAGTCGTGCCCCTCTCATAAAGTGAGGGAAGGGCCATGGGAGAAGTGGAGACTCACCTGAAGGACAAAAAAACAATTTTTCTGTCCACTCACAGTCAGAGCAAGGTGGGGAAAGAGTGTATATGGACCTGTAGCTAGGGACTGATTTCCCCTGAGATCCGTCCATGCTCCATGTACTGAAGTCTGTGTCCTCGACAGGTGAGAAGCTCCTCTACTGAGACTTAGCATCCTCTGAAGGGCAGGAACAGCTCTGATGGGGACATGATGTAGTGGGCAAGAATGTGGACTGTCACTCATCTCCGCCTGGGTTTTAATCCCTTCATAGCCACCTTCTACATGTGCTTCGTTTAATCCCTCTGCCTCAGGGTCCTTCTGTGAAGTACAGTTAACATTCATGGCCGCTCCTTTGTAGGGCATGCTTAGAAAGCTCTCAGTCCAGGGCCTCGTGCTTCATAAGCCTTCAGTTGATCATAACTACTTATCTAAGTTCGGAACTTACTAAGTGACTTGTGTTTGAAACATCGATATTGAGAATATTATGTACCCTAAGAAGTGTCTGAACTCCAAAAGACAAGAAAAATTTAATCGTGGAATGTCTGGAAAAAAAATCCCCAAGCGCTTCGTGAAAAGTGGCTGCAGGAGAGAATGTTTTGGGTTGCTCATATGATTAACCCGTGCTAAGCATTGTCTGAAACTTTGAGACATCTATACATCCCTTGGAGCCTTATGTAATTCACACTTTGTTTTTAAAATCGCTGATTTCTAGGAGGGAAATTGCTAAACTCCTATAACATAGTGGACATGTGCCGGTTTTGCTCCACTATTAAGGCAAAGTTTTCCTTTCCCCCACTTTCTCTAACCTCGTGTCTGTATTTCTTTATGGAAAATTCAGGCTCTTTTCTATCCATGATGTTGTGTTTCTGTGGTACTCTGCTGCCTGACCTTGACAAATAGATAAAGGTGAGGGAATACAAGCAGCTACTTAACTATCCTCTAATTGATTCTAACCCCAGTTCTACTTGCTCTGATATTTTAGGCAAGGAATTACTTTCTGGCTCACATTTTCCTTTTTTATCAAAGGAATAAAGATGAATTTCTTCCTTAATTTGTTTTTGGTTTTGATTTTGTTTTTTTTTGTCCTTCAGGTGAGTCTCCAGTGAAATCTGGTATTTGAGGCAATGGCTCAGTGCTAGCTCTGCCCTTCATACTCTAACCTGATTATCATCTCTGATCTGTTTTTTGATTATCATTTAACTTGTCATACCTTTATTCACTTTTTAAAAGAATTTTTTATTTTGAAATAATTAGAAACATGTAGAAAATTGCAAAAAAACAATTGTCTGGACTGTTAATCAGACCATAGACCTCATTAAGTTTTCACCAATTTTTTAGCCTTCATGTGTGTGTACACACACGTGTGTGTGTGTGTGTGTGTGTGTGTGTAAGTTCTGTGGAGTTTTATCGCGTGTATGAATTCATGTGATCATCACTACATTTAACATACAGGGTTGTCTCATTACCACAGAAGAGCTGTCTCATGTTGCCTCTTTGCATGCACCCCTACCTTCCACCCCCTCCATCCTCCAGCACTCCTCGCTCATCCCTGACCCTTGGAAACCATGACTGTGTTCTCTGGCTCTATAGTTTTGTCATTTTGAGAATGTTCTCTAAATGGAACATGCAGCTTATAGGTTGACCTTTTTCACTAAGCACAATGAGGGTGTTGCATGTATTGATAGCTCGATTTCCTTTTTATTGCAGAGTAGCATTGCAGTGTAAGGATGTACCAGAATTTGCTTAGCCATTCGCCCACTGAAGGAATTTGGGGTTATTACTAGTACTTTACTACCGTAAATAAGGCTATTATAACATTCGTGTGTAGGTTTTGTGTGAACACAAGTTTTCATTTTCTTCCTTGAGGACTTTATATTTTTCGTGTAAATAGCCTTGTCAGATTCACAGTTCACAGTTTAAGGTGAGTGTTTCTGATCCTATGAGTAGAGTTCAGATAGGACTCCTAAAGATTTTATTTAAATAAGACCATGTCATGGTAAGAGAATAAATGAGGGGATGGATACAGAGAGTTTAATGTAATGCTTTTCTTTCTTTCTTTTTTTAAAGACTCTTCAGACAACAAAGAAAAGAAAACTTTCAGCCTTGAAGAAAAGTCCAAGATCTCAAAAAACCGTGTTCATTACATGAAATTCACAAAAGGTAAAATTAAGCATGTCTTTATCTGTTGTTGAAATCTCCATGTTCATACCAGGTTTCTTAAAGCATTTTCAGCTCTCACCAACATTACTTCTTGGTTTATGTGCAGAATGGACAAGTATGGGCAGCCTGCCTGGATTGATGTAAAACTAAAGTGCTAAACTTTTAGCATTTATTGTGAGTCACCCGTAGATCTTGTTAAATTGCAGATGCATTATCTCTGAGGTAGGGCCCCATTTTGGTTTAGATTACATGCAAGTCCTTTGGCAGAGCTGGAGGTGGAAGTCAGCTTGCTATGTGAAAAAGAATAGTGACTTTACATCGCTAAGTCATAAAATAATTTTAATTTGTTGCTCAGTATTTTTAGTTACAATTTCTTGTTTTTTAAGTTTAATATTGGTGTTGAATAGCTCCAAAATTATGCCAATTTACAGATTTGTACTCTATCTTGAGATATTCAGTATGAGAATTCTCACTCCCAAACTGAATTATATTATTTCACACCATTTCTTCATTGAATGGAGTGTTAACTTAGGCATTCCATGGTCATTGCAAAGTAGCATTAGAAAACATATTCGAGAACTGGATAGTGAATCCCATCTTCCTCCATTCACCACCTCCCCACTCCCTTCCCAATAAAAGCAGCCAATTGCTGCTGTCCTGTGTAACCACGAGGTGGCAGTCTTGTATTGGGAAGAAACAATTGAACTCCACTCCTCCAGATGTTTTCCTGTAGAATAGTATTATGCATTAAGTACACTTTCCAGACACAAAAGCTTATTTATTACATACCGTACTTCAAGTATAACTGTGATGATAATCCCGTTGCGGTATCTAGTCACCATACGATGGCTCTACTCTGGGAGATGGGATGTACCTTTCTATCTTGACATGCCAGGAAACACACATCTCTTTGGTTTAGTTTATTTGGCCTGATTGGGAATTCCCTAACTCCTAAAACTTCCCTCAATAGCAATGGGAACTGGAATTCCCTCTCCTCTTGGTGATAAATGGTGGTTCTTACTTGGACCAGAACCCCAGAGGCTTGTCTGGGTTTGGTTTAAGTGAGAGCCTGTGGCAGAGCTAAATGGAGTCAGGAGCTGAATAGCTTTGGGAATGTGTACAAGGAGAGATGGTCATTTCCCCCTTCCCTCTTTCAGCTGCTATGGTTTGTCTGGCTCTTCATGTTTTCCCCTCCTCTTTCTCTCAGCTCAGAACCATCTTTGTTGTTGTCCTCTGTGATTTCTGATCGGGGTTTCTCTCCACTCCAGTTCTGTTCTGGAGCAAAAGGCAGTCCCTGTCACCTCCTCAGTCTTTCTGAGGAGAGGCTAAATTGCAACTTTATAACCAGTCCTTAAATATCCCTCCTTTTTTCATTAGAACCTATAGGAAAAAAGAGAGATGTCGTAGAAAGATGCTGAGCAAATTCATGAAAAGTGGCCTATAACTTTTTAGATGGCATGGCAGCCTTTGAAGCTTTCACTTTTGCAAATCTAGTTTTCCTTTAGTATCTAGCTACACGCATGATTTCACCTGAAGCATTTGCTGAAGCTGGGATAAACCTCTTTAATCTGCTTTAATCTAATGGATGCTGGGAGTATCTGCTTTCTATTTCTAGTTAAGCCACTTCCTTGCCAGGTGACCCTGTCAGCCTGCTTGGTGTGTTGGGCCTAGGCTTTCTCTGAATGAGGTTTGCTCATTTATTAGCCTTGCCTGGGGTGAAAGGGAGCATTGGTATAGTGGGAAGAGGGTTCAAGATATATTGTCAGAAAGGAAGCAGAGGAGATTAAGTGGAAAAATAGAGGAAATGCAGATTGGGATCAAGTGGAAAAGGTGGGGAAAGGAGGCAGAAATCCAGGTGGTGAAGAAAATAATTACTTACTATCCATCTTAACAATCCATAGTGAAAGCAACATCCAAGGTTCTTTCATTTGACAAAAGAAGTCTTTTCCTGTAGAGCATTTGTTGTCCCTGGATATGAGTGATAAACTCTCAGTTTTCTCTAAGGTGGATATTCATAGATCAACAGGAAACCTGGATTCTGCCATCACTCTCTCAGATCACTTAAGCACTTACCTTCTTACAGACTCCGTTTCCTCTTTTAAAAATGAGGAAAGATTTCAGGGGCGCCTCAGTGGCTCATTTGGTTAAGCGCCTGACTCTTGGTCTGAGCTCACGTCTTGATCTCAGGGTTGTATGTTTGGGCCCCACATTGGGCTCCATGCTGGGCATGAAGCCTACTGAAAAATAAGTAAATGAATAAAGTGAGGAAAAATTTTTCAGTCATTGAGTTCTAAAGTAGGTTCTGTCTTAAATGACCCATTTTATGGAATTTTTGATTGTTCAGCATAATGAATGATAATCATTTTAACCTGTGGGTATGCTCTTAGTAAAAGTAACTAATTCACTTATTTGATGAGGGTGATTCGTGTTGTAACTCCCATCTGTGGTCCAGAGACTAAATCATAGGAAAATGTCATTTTACATAGCTTGGTGTGAAGAGTGAAGATAAAAATTTGACTTTAGTGAGACTCCAATAGCTAATAGCATTGTAAAATATACTGCTGCCTAAATATTGGCTATATCATTTTAGTTCTGATACATAATTATTCTTTTTTCTAGTCCCAAGTTTCTGATTTTATTTGAAACAATTTATTATATAACTTAAAAGTTAATTTCATCTGTTTTTGTTTAACAAGCCTAACTTCAGTGCGCTTTTTTTTAATTTGAAAAATGTTTGTTGAGGACCCATCTACAGAGAGGAAAAGATAGGGAGAATATGATTTCTACAAGACCATTTCGAAGTGCCAACATATGCAGTGGGAAGTTATCAAAAGAACGTTGCTTCCCCTGTCCCCGCATCGTGTGCTGGCTGGAAGAAAGCTTGCATGAATTGAGGTTGTGCACCTTCATCCCAGGAATATTACTCAGGCTTCTTATTCCTGTGACAGTTTGCAGTATCTGCTTCTTAAATAAGCAAACTGCACAGACAGCACATGTCCTGGTAGCCAGCTTGCTAGACCACGAGTGTGGTGACCTCCTCCCCACGTTGGATTCTGCTGGTGACAGGCATCCAGTCTCCTCTTGTGATTATTTTGCCATTTAAATATAAGATAACACCATGGCAGGCTTTTATAAAACTCTGACTCTCTTATTTGTTGTGAGGGTCTCACTTATTTCATCCCCTGCTCTGATTCCTTCAGTTTTCCTGTTTTTCTGACATCACCCTTTCAGTGACGTTGCCATGATCTTCGGTCCTAGGCTTAACAGTCTCATGTATTTTCATTAAAAACAGAAATCAGAATACAGTGTTTTATCTTCTTGATTGGAGAGTACAAATGAACTTTCTAAGCAAGGAAAGCTCCCTGCATACGCCTGAAGTGTTTTTGTATTTTAACAAACGTATTTCTCAGACCTGCATTTCCTTGCCCTTGCCCCTTTACTCTGAGGAGAAAACTCAGGGTTTTTTTTTTTGTTTTTTTTTTTTAAGTCTTTGTTACAATACAGTGCTGTAATACATTTAATACATTTTTTTCCTTGGAACTTGCTGGGTTCCGTATGACTTTTACCCTTAAAGTAAGAGGCTCCATATCTCTGATTCTTAAATTCTTATGTTTATTTTTTGTAGTTTCATCTGCTTCCCTTGTGGACTTCTTGATGTTGTAAAGTGTATCTGACTGTAGTGATAACATCCCTCCTTTCCAAATTGCCACTTGAATAGACTGGAAAACCTGATAATCATGATTACTAGAAAAACAGCCAAAAAAGATCATTAAGTACTCTTCTCTGAAAGTACCTGTTTATCCTTTTATAGACTTAAGTTATATCACCTTGGCTACTGGAAGCTGTTTTTCCTGGTTCTCAAAATCTTATGGCCAGTTGAAGACTAATAGATGAACCAAATTCAGATAGAGAACATGTATTTCCTTTCAGTTTTTTTGTTTTTTTTTTTTACAAATAGTTTATTGTCAAGTTGGTTTCAGTTTTTGATTGTCATTTTCTCTAACATCTAAGTTTATCAATAGTATTTGTTGTGATTTGACCTTAATTCAGAACTGAGACCAGTAAGCTTTCAAACTCTGTTTTAATATATCTATACCTTATTAAAAAAAATGGCCATAATTTTATAACATTGATAAACTTTTCACCCAGGACCATTAACTAATAACTATTTCAGTATCGCTTCCATCTTCACATTTTGATCTATCTTTAAGTCCCTTTCCATTGGTCTCTGACTCTTAATTCTTCTCTGTGTTTTGTTTTCCAGATCAAATCCAGAGCAAGGCCTGTAACAATCCTGGTTTCTACATTTACTTAAGTGAACTTTGCTAAAGGATAAAAATTTCTGATACAAGAACCCATCACCCAAACCTTAGAAACACTTGCACCTTCATTGGTACAGCTTACTGTCTCTCCCAGCTTGACAGTTTGCCCTGTGATGTTCAGATTTGTTTCCAATCTCTGCGTGTTCGTAGTTTGACATCCTGTTTTAGAGTTGTGATCTTGCATGTTCCCTCCCTTCCGTAATCCCTCCAACATTCCTTTTAGTGAAATTGCTATAAATCAGATCTTAATTTGCATCTCTTTAGGGTTTCTGTTTCATTCCAGAAGATAGGTTAGGGATAGATGGCCAATACATATTTTGAACTAAGTATAACTCCTTTTTCTGAAATAGAAACTGCCACCCTGAATGTGCTCTGCAGTGCAAAATGGGTTATGCTGATGACAAAGCTAAGAATAGATCTCTAGACTTCCTGAGGGTTTGTCCACTTAACCCCACCATGAACAGTGTTATTCCCCACTTTTCTGGTTCATTTTCTGAGTTCCTGTCTGGGATATACTTCATTTTGTTCTTAAGTGGGTTTCTTATGGGGTCTTTTGTATGGGTCTGCTTAATAATCAGAACCAGGAAGGCTTTGTTTCTAACTTGGAAGAAAGGAGAGAGTAACACAGAGCCGCAAAGGAACGTGTCTTTCCTGATAGGAACAGGTCATACTGACTGCACCATTGAATCTGGTACTGCTGCCTATGAAACTCGTTATGGTGCCTGGCTTTGCATTAAATCCAAGGGTGTTTTGTTTTTTTAATTTCATGGAGTCACTGAGCAATATCATATTTGAATGCCCCAGTGCTAGTCAGTGAACTAGAACCTTCTGGGTCATACCATTACTTTGCCAAGTCAAAGCTACAGGAAGCTAAGAAGACCAGTGAGTCCATGACATTGGAACTCAGGCTTCCTACTCAAAACAAAAATTCTTGTGTCTAACCCAGAGCCTAACTCCCCCAGAGCCTCAAGACTTCACATGTAGTAGTTATATTTTAAAGTGCATTTGCCATGTAGTTGACAAATGGGAAGAGATTCAGTTGACTGCTCATAGAGTATTATTGGTAGAAGTGGAAATTCCACAGAAGTAAATTTTAAATTAGTTGGTTTGTGGGTTTGAAATGAAGTTAAAGAGTTTACTGTTTTTAATAAGAGGTATAGATCCTTTGGATAGTGCTTTGCCAGAAGCCATTTCATTTCCTGCTCTTATGACGTATCCTTTTATTTAAAGACAGTAAAGAACTTTTTAAAGAGAAAAGTCTGAAATCCTTTCACCCTAATGTAGTAATTTTTATTTGCATTTATTCTTTTAAAATTTTTCATTCAGTTAATTATTGAGCCCTTATGTGTCAAATACAATGTGCTCTCATTCATGTGTGTTTAAAAGCTATATAGTTAACAGCATTTTTGTTCTGCATTTCATAATCCTGAGTAACTCATGTCTCCTTGAAATAAAAAATATCTGTTTTATAAATGGGGAACCAGAGGCCCAGAAATCATACGTGGAAGGCAACAGAGCTAGCTTTGAAATTCAGTTTTCCTCCCATTCTACACACTTTTGGTTGTTTCTACCATTAAGGAGAGAATGTCATGGGTTCTGGTTCTAAAACAGTCTTGAGTTTAAGTCATTTTTAAATTTTTTTTTTTTTCTAGGGGAGAGAGAGAGAGAGAGAGACAGCGTGAGCAGGGGAGGGTCAGAGAGAGAGGGAGTCACAGACTGAAATAGGCTCCAGGCTCTGAGCTGGCAGTCAGCACAGAGCCAGACGCGGGGCTCGAACCCACGAACCGTGAGATCATGACCTAAGTGAAAGTCGGACGCTTAACCGACTAAGCCACCCAGGCGCCCCGTTTAAGTCATTTTTAAATTTACTTAATTTTACTTGTTAACTAATGAGCTGTAGTCTGTGAAGGGGAGACAGAAAGTAGTTTGCAAAATTGTTTCTTTTCCAAAACCCATTTTGCTTTCAGGATTCTCATAGTTTATATTTGTGCTCCTTATTTTACAAAGAATGGTATTACTGAAAGGCACCATGTTGTTTTTCTAGGGAAGGATCTATCATCTCGGAGCAAAACAGACCTTGACTGCATTTTTGGAAAAAGACAGAGTAAGAAGACTCCTGAGGTATTAAGCCACGTACAATTGATATGTTTTGTTTCAACACTGCTTGATTTTCAGCCATGTGTAGAACTATTTTATATCTATTACTGATAGTATTCTTTAGCTAAAGCTCAAAAAAAAAAAAAAAAAAACAACTTTGAGAGGTCTCAAACAAAGGCTAAATGTGACCTTAATAATAGTAGTTGGAAGGTACAAGGATTCTAAAAAAGGGTATGTGTTCCCTGCTTTTTCCCTTGTGTGAGGACCTGGAGTAAACTTGAGGAAGAATGCCTTTGCTGACATATTCAGTGGGGAAAATGTCCCATCCCAGGATGCATCCAGCGGTTTTGTCTGCTCTGCTCAGATTGCATAACTGTTTGGGATATGGCTTGGGGAGGGACAATATCATCTACGTACTCCTGTCCTGGTCTGCTTCCTTTTAGAAGCATTTTGAAAGGGTTGGATCATCATGAGAATCTGTAAGGGAATAAGATGTAGTATTTCCTCCATTGTACAATATTGTTTGTTTTAAAACTAGGTGAAAGCAGTGTGACTACACTGTACCCTACATGAGATGAGTCAATAAGCTTCATTAGTAAATTGGGGTTTATAATATAGCACAGAGTTTTTTGTGCCATTTCCAAAGTAAGAGGCAGTCCTGAGTTTGGATGTCAAAATAGAATTTGTGAACTACGGGTTTCTGGAGATACAGGGGTAAAGATTTAAAATTGGTACTGCCTCCAAATATCTGCAATATGATTGCTATAACGATTACTCAATTAATCTGGTGTGTCCTACTTAGGTTTCTTTATTGGTTCCTAGCCAAGGCCCTTGTTGCAATTTTTACTCACGCTTCTCCAGACTGACAGGAATTTTTCCAGGGCAGTAGCTCTTTGTTACTTCATATTATTTTCAAAGACTCTAGAATAAGCAGTTATTAGAAATTTTGCTTGATGGTTTCCTTTGCAGGTTGGGACTAAATTCCATCTCTCAGGGTTTTTCTGCCCCTACACCTTTAGCAGTGAGGACTGAGGAAGCAGCGCTCCATTGGCTCGCTGAGGGGCGGTGTTTGTAGGTCTCTGCTGAGTCATGTCAAAGGCAGGTGGGTCATTAGGGAGGAGGCGTTCTGACATCAGGCCACACTGGATGCTTCATTCCCAGAGAGGCTGTTGGAAAGAGCAGAGGATCATCAGACAGCACTGCTCCTGGTCACACCTCTGCCCCTCAGTGGTGACTGTGTGACCTGGATTGGCTCAGGCAGGCTCCCGCCTTGTTCAGTAAAGACTTTGCACCTGTCTTATCTGAGTCTTCCTCTTGAATCACTCTCCTTTGGTCTGCTCTGTAATTTGAGTGTCCTAAAGGGTGTTTTATCACCTCTGCCCTGCCCACGCCCTCCTGTGGCCACACCTGGCACCTTTACATCAACCCCATAGTCCACCCTGGACCCCTGAGCATAACCTTTCTGTTCCAACGCTGTCAATCTTGCATTCTTACTGTGCTGGCATTCCAGATCCTTGCATTCTTGGATTACTTGAGCCTCCTTTTTCTCCCTATTGCCTGCAGCCGTGGTCTTTTGTAGCACTCGGTTTTGAAATTTTACAGTTGAACAGATCAGGGAAGGAAACTTTTGGTAGAACCTTAAAAGAATTTCTGTGGTAGTCACAGGAAAGCTCTTCATTATAGGCGATTAGAGGTTTCTAATCCTCTGGCAGACATCTGCCTGAGGACTTACTGATGTTAGGTGCCATGAGGTTTTCAACACTGTCTAGTACTACTTGGCTTTTTGATGGTGGTATCATTCATGGCCACGTTGACATGAGCCTGTATTTGACACAATTCCCTGGTACTAGCCCAGAGAAAATCTATTTTGGTGCAGTTGGTGTGGAGAAGGCCAGCCTTGATAGAATCCTGTGTTTTGTTCAAGATTTTTATCCAGGTGCAGCTCCATTTCTCATTCTAGCTTACAGTTTTCCCCTTGTTGCTGTCCTGAATATCCTGATTGTTTGGTGAGGCAGTTTTATATCAGGATGCAGCACTTGGTCTGTAGCAGTGGTTCTCAGCAGCTCTTGCACTCAGTCATCTAAGGAGCTTTTTAAAAAATGCTAATCCAGGGTGCAATGCCAGATAGGTTAAATCTCAATTTGGGTTAGGGTCTAGGAATAGGTATTAAAAAGAGAGGAAGAAAAATAGTTTTAATATCAAATAAAGCCTACCCAGACAATACAGGTGATTATTGAGAGTAAGGATTGAGAGCCACTAGTAGAAGTCCTGATATATGTGACATCTGGAGAGCTTCTGACTTTAGAATTATGAATATTGCCTAGGACAGGGCTTCTGAAATCTTAATATGGACACAGACCATCTGGGAATTTTGTTAAACTGCAGGTTCTGTTTCTTAAGGATGGGGTGGGGCCCAAGAGTCTGCATTTCTGAGAAGCTCCCAGGTGATGCTGATGCTGCCAGTCACCCTCTGCTGCATGCAACATAAGGACTAGATCAGACCTTGGTGGTATTTGACATTTACTATATGTCTGTATGTATTCACATATAAGATGGAATGTATTTAAATCTAATCACAATTTAAGACACCAAGTAAGAAGTATTTCTGTAAAGTACAGTCACTTTTGTTTAAGTTTTTATTTAAATTCCAGTTGGTATTAAGTACAGTGTAGTATTAGTTTCAGGTGTACAATGTAGTGAGTCAGCACTTCCATACAACACCTGGTGCTCATCACAAGTGCTCTCCTTAATCTCCATCACCTATTTAACTCATCCTACCTCCCCTCTGGTAACCCTCAGTTTGTTCTCAATCGTTAAGAGTCTGTTTCTTGGTTTGCTTTTCTCTCAAAAGCAGAATCACTTTTAAATTTAAGTTTTAGATATGTGTGGATTTTCATATATAGAGTTGGCTTTCATTGAGGCATACCTGTACCTTTCCTGAATAAATTGTTGCTATAAAACCTTCCCGTGTGAGTTACAACAGTCCTTATAGCCAAGGGCAGGAGGACTTTGATCAGATTTGTTTGAAAATACAACCTCTTTTGGCTCCTGTTTGCAGTTGGAACTAGAATCGCTTTGTTTTTACTCCCTTGACCCCCATAGCAACATTGGCCTGAAATTATATTTGGCATTGCCAAGGTAAAGGTGCTGCTAGAGGTCAAATACCCGAAGAATCTTAGACACCATGACAGTATTGAATGTTGAAGTAGTAATCCTCCCTGGGTGCTCTGGGTAAGGTGATGATAGTCTTTGCATCTGGAGTTAACCATGGGCATTGACCACATCTGGCTTGGGCAGTATCTATCTCTCACACTAAGCCTGACTTAATTAATTTCTATAACCCCTGACTGTTGTAGTGATACAAAAGAAACTACAACCTCATGAAGTATCTATGTACTGGACACTGTGAGAGACATGTATGATAGTATTTCATTTAATCCTTATAACACTTCTGTGAAATAGGCATTATTATCACCTCTTTAGCAGTAAGGAAACCACGACTCAAAAGGATTTATTATGAAGGTCCAAAGCAGCACAAATGGGATTTAAATCCAGGTCCTTCTGACTCCAAAGTCATTCTCCTTTTCCCTCTACCACAATGTTAATTAACTTATGTGCATTAAAAAAAAACAAAAAAACAAAACTATGTTTAAATGAGTCTAGTATTGCCTTAGAAGTTTTCTTTGAGATTTTGTTAAAGACATAAGTAGTTATTGGGGCGCCTGGGTGGCTTAGTCGGTTAAGCGTCCGACTTTCGCTTAGGTCATGATCTCGCGGTTCGTGGGTTCAAGCCCCGCGTCGGGCTCTGTGCTGACTGCCAGCTCAGAGCCTGGAGCCTGTTTCAGTCTGTGACTCCCTCTCTCTCTGACCCTCCCCTGCTCACGCTGTCTCTCTCTCTCTCTCTCTCTTCTAGAAATAAATAAAACATTAAAAAAAAAAAAAAAAAAGACATAAGTAGTTATTACTTCATCATAACTTTGTGGGAAAATGATTGGCTATTATTTTGCTGAAAATAATGGTTTAACTTTCAAAACCTCACTACCTTGCCCTCAGTCAGAATTGAACTATGATGGGCTCAGAAGCATATTACAAATGCCTGGCCCAGCTTTGGGAACAATTTACTGTGCTGATAGGAACTGAGTTAAGAGAGAGCCATCTTGGGGCGCCTGGGTGACTCAGTCGGTTAAGCATTTGACTCTTGGTTTCAGCTCAGGTCATGATCTCACAGTTTCGTGAGTTCTAGCCCACAAGCTCTGAAATCACAGTATGAAACCTGCTTGGAATTCTCTCTCATTTTCTCTCTCTCTCTCGTTCTCTGCCCCTTACCCACTCGTGCTGTAAAGGAAAAAAAAAAAAAAAAAAAAAGAGGGGTGCCTGGGTGGCTCAGTTGGTTGAGCGTCCAACTTCGGCTCAGATCATGATCCTGACGTTTGTGAGTTTGAGCCCCGCGTCAGCCTGGAGCCTGCTTCAGATTCTGTGTTTCCCTCTCTCTCTGCCCCTTCCCCGCTCACTCTCTGTCTCTGTCTCTCTCAAAAATAAATAAACATTAACAAAATTTTTTTTAAATAAGAAAGAGCTAGCTTGAGTTTCTGGAGCATACATGCTGTGTTGTGCATTTTTGGTTTCTCATATGAACTGAATGATCTGAGTACATTTATATTCAAGAAATATCTGCAACCCTTAATTAATAACAGATTTTTTTTTTTTACTTTTTGCTTTAAAATTTCTTATTTGAAAATAATTGCAGATGCACGGGAAGTTGCAAAGATAGTTCAGGGGGGTTCCTTGTACTCTTCACCCAATTGCACAATCACACAGTGATTACATCTTCCTTAACTATAGCACAAGACGAAAGCCAGGAAATTGACATTCGTACAATCCGTGTGTGTAGTTCTATGCCACTTTATCATATTTGTGGATCCTGTAACTACTGTCTCAGTTAATCACAGAACTATTCCCTCACCACAAAGATCTCCCTCATACTACCTCCAGTTGTAGTCAGCTCCCTCCCTGCACCTTCCCCA